TTTAGAAAGTAATTATCTAGTCAATTACTGTCGTAGATTCCTGGAATTAAAGAATTAAATGTTTGATTGTTGAAACCCTTACTTCGTGGAATGCACTCATTTCAGATAAAATAAAACGTTTTATTTTATCTAAAGAATTAAACTTTATTTTGCAAATAGGTAGGTACTTATTAAACTTTTATTGGTTATATATAACCAATAAAATAAACATCTTACATTTCTTGCAAATTCATTAGTACCTGTTAACCTCCATCACTCCGACACTGGCAACCTTATTTAGGGATTAGTAACCCTCACAACTATTGTATTTTATTCTGCTCAAACCTTTATACCTGGTGGTCATACTCAATTTGAAATTGTTTTCCTATATACTTCTGTAAACTTGTTGACAAATATCTGTTTTTCATTGAGTCACCCGTATAAACAGTTTAGGAATACATAATTTATTGTTTTATTACTCTCTCATACATAAAAATACACTATAGTAAACTACATCCCAATATAAGATCTTGTGGGTCACTCTTCAAGTGAGTAGTCACACTTGTAGTAAAAGTCTGCTTCTCTCCTCAGTCACACTTACCCCATTTATTCAAAGAGTATGCGCATCTATTATGCAAGTACAATAAAATGTCAGATGCAACAAGGTGAAATGGGGATGACCTCTGTATATGTAAAGATCGTTTAAACGACGATGACTTGGATGCGTTTCTGAACATAGAAGAACCCTTTATCATTATAGGAGACCTAAACACAAGGCTAGCACACAAACTTGACTCATATCAACCAGTAGAGCAGGCAGGATTCAGAAAAGGATATAGCACCACTGACCATCTTTTAACAATTAGGACACTGATAGAGAAAGCTAACGAATATCATTTAGATCTGCATTTAGCATTCGTTGACTATGAGAAAGCTTTTGATAGTGTGGAAATGTGGGCAATAGAAAGAGCTATAAACAACTGTAGAATAGATTCCAGATACAGAATGCTAATACACAATATATATAAGAAAGCAACAATGACAGTACAATTGGAAGAAAACACAAAACCTATACCAATTAACAGAGGAGTGCGACAGGGCGATGTTATTTCTCCTAAATTATTTACATTAGCACTGGAAGATGTTTTCAAAACAATGGAATGGACAAACATGGGAATAAACATAAATGGAAAGAAACTAAACCATCTAAGATATGCAGACGATGTAGTAATAATAACATCAAGTTTTGAAGAACTACAAACTATGCTAACCGAACTAGCCAAGGAATCTGAACAAATAGGCCTAAAAATGAATTTTACCAAAACGAAAACAATGACAAACACACAAGATAATAGAAACGTAATACTAAATGGAATCACAATAGAAGCGGTTAATGATTATATATATTTGGGACAGATAATAAAAATAAATAAGGAAAACCAAACAGCGGAGGTAAAAAGAAGAGTCAGATTAGCCTGGGCAGGATTTGGGAAATTAAAATGGGTCCTAAAGAATAAGAAAATACAACAGTACTTAAAAACAAGAGTGTTTGACCAGTGCATACTCCCAATTCTCACATACGCATGCCAAACATGGACTCTGACCAAAGCAAACATGGATAAGATAGTGAAGACACAAAGAGCCATGGAGAGAGCAATGTTGGGAGTAAAATTAAAAGACAAGAAGCAAAACATCTGGATAAGAAACAAAACAAAAGTCAAAGACGCAGGTCAACATATAGCCAGGCTAAAATGGAGTTTCGCAGGTCATAACGCCAGACAAACAGACAATAGGTGGAACAACACGATACAACATTGGAGACCATGGACAGGAAAGAGAGCAAGAGGACGACCCCAGATGAGATGGGGAGATGACATTAGAAAGATAGGAGGAATACACTGGAAACAGAAAGCACAAAACAGAAGCGAATGGAGGAAACTGGGGGAAGCCTATGTTCAAATTGGACGAATTAAAGGGCAAAAGAAGAAGAAGAAGAAACACAAGATCCCAAATTGGACCAATAATTATCTAGTGAGCAACGAAGATATTATGGCAATAGAGCCTATCGAGCCAACATATTTCCCAGTGAAAGTTCTACCTACCCATTTGGACATTCTTCTTTTTCCTTGAGTACCGTGCCCAAGTTTTACGCGTGGGTAACTTCCATGACGATTTGCCGATATCGTTCTCGATATTGCGCGGCATGTAATAATTCATCTGCTGATAAGCCAGTCCATTGACCAAGGTTTCGGAGCCATGAGTATTTCTTTCTACCAATTCCTCTTCTTCCTTCGATCTTTCCGTTGAGTATCAACTGAATTATCCTGTATGTGCTTCCTCTCATTATATGCCCCAGATATTCGAGTTTTCTCGTTTTTATCATCTTTATTAAGTCACCTTCACCTTGACCTACTCTGTTTAAGACTTCCTGTTTAAAATGTGTTGAACCCATGATATTTTGAGCATTCAACGATATAACCACATCTCGAAGGCTTCTAATTTGTTCATCATGTTAACCTTCATAATCCAGGTTTCACATCCATACAGTAATACAGAATACACATAACATTTTAGGAACTTAATTCTCAGCTGTAAGTTCAGCTGAGAATTGCTCAGAATAGATCTAAGTTTCATAAATGCTCCTCTTGCAATTTCTATACGAGTTTTAATTTCTTCATCCGGATTTAGTGTCTCGTTTATCCAACATCCTAGATATTTAAAATGGTTTAACTTTTGTTATCGGTTCATTATTGACAATTAGTTGTAGCGCCGAGGTCTTGTTTACTAACTAAAAGTAACTTTGTGTTTATTGTATTTATGCTTAGTCCGTTATTAGAGCATTTGCTAGACTTCGAGCTCTTGGACATAGTAGTGGCTAAAAATCTAGGACTACAAACAGAGATCCGATCATTAAATGAAGGACTAGGAGACGACAACCCTATACTACTAGAATGGGAAGAAAAAAAACAAGACAACAAGAAAAAGAAAGAAAACCAAGTGGCCAAAATACAAAAGATTTGTGAGCATCGGAATCGGTAATATCCCAACGATCAGCAACCCACAAGAAAGACAGGAAAAAGTCCTAGAGCTTGAAAGCATTATTAAAGAAGCGCTAAAAAATAGCACTACAGAAAAAAAACTAGAAATTCACATGGGAAGATTTGGAGATATCAACCAGGAAATAAAAGTTATTATAAGGGAAAAGAACAGAGCCAAAAAAAGCCAGAAGAGACCAGAAAGACAAAAAAAAAATCACTAATAGAGCACAGCAGCCAAAGTGAGACAATTACGTAAAAGAAATGGAAGAATGGGACCAAAAAATGCAAAATATTTGGAGGCTCCAAAGAACGTTAAGAAATGACAGGAAAACCCCCCACTACACGGAAAAAATAGAATCTTCTACTCATTAGAAGAACAAACTAGTGATGAGGACGACTTTCGAAAGAGAGTGTACACTGAACTATAACCATTACGAAGATATAAACTTTATCGAAAAAGTAGATGTACGCAAGAAATGACCGACGAATAAGACAAGATAATCCCTCCTACAATTCCAAAAGAAATAAGTGTTTATCTAGGAAAACTACCTGGTCCAGCTGAAATTACAAACAGAGTAATAGATAAACTATAGTATACTTAACAGAAGCGAGACTAAGATACATGCTCTTCCCAAACCGATGGAAGGAAGTCCATGTCATATTGATTTCGAAGCTTAGAAAAAGACAACACATTTCCGCAGAACTACTTACAGGACGATTAACTTACTTTCAGCAGTCAAGACAGTAGGAGTCAACTTTAGCAGGTTCCCAAGCAGAAACAGACAGCCTGGGACTAATAGAAGAACCTCAATTTGGAGCCAGAGCAGAGCACTCCATTTAACTACAAGTACTCAGACTAATAGAGTATCTAACATCTGGATACAACACACGACAATACACAGGAGCAGACTTCCTGGACCTAAGCAAAGCCTTGTACAGAATGTGGCATAAAGGACTGTTGTACAAAATGAGAGGTTATGGATATAACGCCCGACAGTACACAGGAGCAGACTTCCTGGACCTAAGCCAAGCCTTCAACAGAAACTGGCATTAGGGACTGTTGTACAAAAAGAGAGATTATAAATACAGCGGGGCCATGTCATCTCCCCGTACTTAAGTAATCGGAGTGTCACAGGGGGTAGTCCTATGATCACTTCTGTACACCGTTTACATGCCAACGCGAAGTTGCAGGTACACTCCGAACACTATCAAGCCTTTAAGCGGATGATATAGCAATAGCGGCTAAACACAGAAATCTGAATATGACCGTAAGAAATATATAGATAGTACAATAGAATAATAGAGTATCAGGTAATAGAGGATCAGAGTAAGAGAGTAATAGAATATACAGCAAAAACGAGTAAGAGGGCCTACACCCTCGAGAGCCAATTCGCCGAAATGGGCCCAGCCCGGAGCTGGGACTCAGCGCCCGAGCAAGATATACAGAACGATGATGTCATTAAAGATGATCGCGGATCTTTAGCGCCTCACGCTGTCCTATATAGTTCGGGGTAGGATATCATGTGGGAATTCTTATATCCAGAACTTCTACATGAGAAGTATTTTTCCGATTTAGAGCCTCTATAAAGGGAGGTGGGGAATGGTGTGGGAGCATCGAGACGAGGTAAAGTGGTCCTTGGTTGATACGGATTAACCTCCATCACCCCAACAAATTGTAGCATCCGAATGTAATTCTAAGGAGTGTGAAAGTCACAGGCTGGTTTCAATGCTATTGCTTGCTTGCTTGAATATCAAGCTGGTTATATAGTCATTTCTTCTAAAGCAACTAAGTCTCTTCTAACCGTTCAGTAGTTCAACCGATGGAGTAGTCGCTGTATAATTGGGTCAAGTAAATACGAGACTGTTCAGTAGATACTCTTACTGGAAACTTAATCCTATTATTGTAATAACAAATTTTCCCAAGAATTCTATGTATTAAATTTAAATAATATTAAATTTGTTACAAATTGTGCATTTACTCACCTTTAATCATTAGGTACTGAAGGTTGTCTTTTATAATAGGTTCAGTTTTAATCACAATATCCTCTTCCCTCACTATGGTTTCCTCAGGTTTTCCCTTTTTATTCCCATCTTTCTGTATATTAGATTGCAGTAAGGCAAAATTCAAAACTTTTTGTTTCGGACGAAGATTCTCGTACTTCGGTTGATCCTTAGTCTTCTGCACCAGCAAGAACGTCGGAGCAACTTTTTGGGTTGTTTTCGAAGGAGCGAAACCTACAGCATTACCGGAAGTGACTGTACACGTCGAGTTCTTTCGTTCCTGTTTTTTAGAGGGCAGGACTGCGTTTGCGGAAGATGCTGCTGAAACAGCTACTAGCGGAGGAGGTGACGGTACTGGAGGAGTTGGTGTTGTGGCAGGCGTGTTGTTTAAATTTTGGCTTAATGAAGAAGGGCTGCTAAATGATTGCGTGACTTTCGGTTCTTTCTCATTGTCTTCTTTTTCACTGTAATTAATATATTTTTATTAGAAATTATTAAATCTTTTAATATTTTAAATAAAAAAAAATATTCATATAATTTATTATATATTTTTACGGGCTCTATACAAGTACTCACCGTGATAGTCCCTTGATTTGTAAAATTTCTCCTCCCTTCAGCACTCCATTTAAGATGTCCTTTGAAACCTTCGCTTCACCGCTGTACATGTACCTCATCAAAACCTTTAGCGATTTGTAGTCGATTTCCGGCGGCAATATAATCATAAGGGGAAGGGACGTTGTTATTTTTCGTTGATATTGCAATATCTGTAACAATACGTATCCTTGTTAAACCTTTTATTCCAGCTTTTACAATTTATAGTGTGTTTCCACAAAAAGAATAAATTGGTTGATAAAAGGTGGATAAAAGTCTAATTATCTCATAATTACATGGTCCGAATTGTACAAAAATCAGAATACGCCTATTCTTTAATATGGAGATTTCAAATGTGTTACTTGCAATGTTGCCAGATTTACTATTTTTCTAATATAATTAGTCACTGTGGTTTTTTAAAAACAATACCTTCTAGAAACGCCTAGAAACTTAAAAATACCCAATTCAAAAAGACATTAACATAAATCAACCGACTACATTTCAACAATTTGCTTCAGTAACGTATATCAGATGCCGCGATGTCAGTTGTGATGTCTATATTTGTTTTATTGACTACGCCAAGGCATTTGACCGTTGTCAGCACCAGGAGATAGTCACCGCACTACAAAGAGTAGGATTGGATGAGAAGGATATTGAGATCATCATGAATATATACTGGAACCAGCGTGCTCAAGTCAAGGTCGAAGACCAGCTGACCGACCAAGTGAAGATCATGCGAGGAGTAAGGCAAGGATGTGTGCTATCGCCGACTCTTTTCAATTATACTCTGAGGAGATTTTTAATGAAGCCCTCACAAAGCTAGACATAGGAATCCGAGTGAACGGTGAATACATCAATAATATCCGCTACGCCGATAACACTGTGTTACTAGCAACCAGCCTAAACGATCTGCAGGCCTTACTAGACCGAGTGCGAACTGTGAGCGTAGCATACGAACTGAACCTCAATATTAAGAAAACTAAATTTATGATTGTCAGCCGTACAAATTTAGATCTCGGGGCACTAATGGCAGGTAGCGAAGAGATCCAGAGAGTCGACAGATTCACTTACCTCGAAACTACCCTCAACGTACAATGGGACTACGCTTAAGAGATTAGATCCCGAATCGAAATGGCACGGTCTACATTTATTAAGTTGAGATCCTTGCTGTGCTGCAGTGATCTCAGTTTGGGAACCAAGATGCGGATAGTGAGGTGCTACGTTCTTCCAGTGTTACTATATGGAGTTGAAGCCTGGACACTGACGCAACCACTGAAAAACGAATCGAAGCCTTCGAGTTGTGGATATACAAAAGGATACTAAAAATATCTTATGTGGACCATGTCACCAACGTTGAGGTCCTACAGCGCATGACAAAAGAAAAAGAAGTGCTTAATTTAATTAAACAACGTAAGCTTGAGTACCTCGGCCACGTGATGCGGAACCAAGATAAATATCGAATTCTTCAACTCGTTATGCAGGGTAAAGTATTTGGCAGAAGAGGACCGGGACGCCCTCGTATCTCGTGGTTGAAAAATCTCCGACAATGGTATGGGATGACCTCAGCGGAGCTGTTTCGCAGAGCAGTCAACAAAACCATGATAGCCTTGATGATTGCCAACATCCGGACCGGATAAGGCACTGAAGAAAAAGAACGTATATCAAAGAAATCACTACAGGTTTAACCGGAATATTTAAAAATGTTACAGATGTCAGAATTTAAAAAGGTCTAACCATAAATATTCCATAATTTTAAATACGATACAGGACCACCAATCATTCAAGACGAAGTCAAAGCCGCAATTAAAGCAACCAAAGAAGGTAAAGCACCAGGGCCCGACAACTTTCATTCTGAATTTCTAAAAATCATGGGATACGAAGGATAAAATGACTTACGACAACGTTCAATAAAATATATGACTCGGGAAAAATCACAGATAGGCCAGGGAAATAAGCAAAAAAAGTACCCTGTTTTTGACACTCGTCCGGCCAGGCAAACGACAGTTGTTTTGAGTAGTGTGGACCTCTGTAATAAAAACCTATATGTTTCCTGCAGTCGATTTTTTGGACTAAATTAGTTATTAACAAATTAAGTTCAAAAAACGGAAAATTTTTGCTTTTTTCGGCTATCAGCAAAAAGTGAAGCAATTTAAACAAATTTTAGAAGAGAGAAAACTTATAAGTTATATAAAAACCTTCAAAATGGCGTTTTCAAAATGTTTCTATCCTTATTTGTTGCTTAGAAAGTTGCAAAATAAGTCAAAAATTTCGGTTTTTTATAAATGTTAATAACTTTTTTGAAAATAAACTATAATATTTATATTTCATGGAGTGATGTGTCTTGTAGTGCTTAAAATAGGGTTAAAATTTCAAAGTGATCGGTCCAATAGTTTAAAAGTTATTTTATTTGTTTATCCCAAATTAACATTTTTTGCAACAATATAAGTCAGAAATTTATACAGTTTTAGAAATTGTAAGGGTTGTTTCTGGTAGAAGAAGACTTGTTTTATTATTTACATTAATGAAAAATTAAGAAAATTAATTTTAAATATTGCAAAATATTTTTGCAAAAACATGTCGATTTTTTGCTTATAAACAATTAGAATAACTTTTTAACCATTGACTGTAAAAATATTATTTTTACATATTTAAAAAGCTTGAATTTTTTCACAAATTTAAATAAAAAAAAGTTTGTCCTAAAATAATTTGGTACAAAGTTAGCCTCTTTTTTTATTTAATTCATAGCACCTTTGTTTATAACAATTAAGAAATCTAATTAGCGCTATTTAAAAGAATATACATTATAGTTTTAAACTACTAAATTTTAAAATTATTGCCCTTTAATGGAATCCTCCACAAAGCTTCAAAATGTATGTAAAATCCGTTGGCTTTAAAACTCTCGGAAGCTGAAGGGAGGGGGAAGGCGCTGTTAACTGTATCTCTGTTCCTTTTTTATGTATTTCAACGTTTCTTTTTGAACTTGTATGTACTTTTTGCGTACATTACGAATATGCATTATTTCAATAAATAAATTGTCAAATTAACCACCTAATTTGTTTAAAAACAATTTTTTTAAATTTTTTTAGTAGTATTTAAGTTTAGTTTGAATGTAAAACAGAAGTACTTGTCATTTCCTATATTTTGGGGAATAACCCACAATTTAAGTTTATAATAAGCTTATTTTTGATGTTTCGATTTCTACTTCGGAAATTTTTCTCAGAATGCAGAACATTAATAAATTAATCAAATTTTATTTTTGGTTACTTGGTAGAAAATTTTTCTGATCTCTTTTGGGTGATTGATTAGTATGAGGAAACTCAGTAGATCTGTTATAGTAAAAATTACAAAAAAAATTATTCACAAAAATTGTAGACAGCTTTAAACTCGACGTTTTAAAATTAGTTACAATCTTACAGGGTGTTCTATAAGATTGTGGCAGACCAAACTTATATTTTTTTAAATGAAACACCCTGTATTTTATTTTAAATTTGAAATCTGCTTCACTTCCACATCACAACAATGTAAAGTTTTATTATGTTATACCGGATATTTAAAAAGTTATAACCAATATTACCTGAAAATCGTATTAAGTTTAACTCCCTGTATAATTAAAAAGGAGTATAGGTCCATTGATCTATTGCAACCATAGTTTTTTAATTATTGTTAAAAATTGTAAAATATATTCGTTTTCATAATATTCGTTAATTCAAATACAGGGTAAGTCAAAATGCAAGTACATTACTTTCTTGATAATTTTAAATAGAACACCCTGTATTTTAAGTCACTATCGAAAAGTACTAATATCGTACTTTACATTTTATGGAATACTCCCTATACCTAAAGTTATCAATTTTCTAGATAAGTATTAATTTGGTAGATATTTGAACTTTTACCAATAATTATTGGGAGTTGGCCATGATTGATTTGTCAGAAACTGACCGTTTGACATTATTGTTTTTTAATTCAGTAACGAGATAACGACACATAAAAGAAAACAATTTGTTTCAATAATTTATAAAAAATAATCGACAGAAAATAAAAAAAATAACAACACATAAAAAAATAAAAAACAACTGTAATTTTAACTAATCCTACTTAAGTAAGGTGTTCAAAATGACCTCCCAAAACATCTATGCATACTTGAAAGCGGTCATTAAAAAAGTTACTTACATTACTAAGCATTTGTAAAGAAATATTTTGAAAAGCAATTCGGATTCTATTTTTTATATCCCTTGTTATTGAAGGTATTTTATATACTTCGTTCTTAATGTAACCCCAAAAGAATGAGTCCACTTTATTGAATTCTGGTGACCTTGGGCCACCTCTTAAGATCCATCTTTCACCAAACTGATCATTAAGTTCACCACGTACCAATTCGTTGTGGTACGCAGAAGCACCTCCATGTAGAAACCACATTTGTTCACATATATTAAGTGGAACCTCTTCTAATAATATTGGTAACTGATGTACGATAAAATCTAAATAAATCTTACCATTTACGTTATGTTTAAACAAATATGGTCCTACTGCATGGTTACCCACGATACTTCCCCACACATTTAAAGATTATCTTGTTTGACTATGTGTTACTATTTGGTATGGATTACTTGTTGAATAGTAGTAAAAGTTATTTATGCCTGTTAACAGAACCGTTTCAGTGGAATGCAGCTTCATCACCAAATATGATATAAACAAAAAAATCTCTGTTCATTAATTTTTTTTAAGGCCCATTCACAAAATACTATTCGTTTCTGAAAATCATCATCAGTTCATTCTTGGTGCTTTTGAATATGATATGGGTGCATCTTGTTTTTAGATAGAATGTTTTGAAAAGAGTAATAACTAAGTTCTTGCTTATTGGAAATAATCCTTATACTTGTGAGTGGGTTTTCTGTAACTGCCATCAACACACTCATTTCGTTTTCCTCTGTCACACTAGTTTTTTTCGTTCATGTTTTTCATAATTCACTAAACCAGTGCGGTTAAATCGATCTTTCAATTTGTCAAACGTATCTTGTGTAGGTTGCCGCCTATCTGGAAACCGTTCTAGCTGATAGTAATGAATTTTTATTGTATTCCCTCAATATCCAGATCATATTTATCTATCATTTCATCAGTAGTAAAGTTCATTATTGCTAATTTAAATTGAATAAATTATTGAATTGCTAAATAA